TCTATTATCCTCAACTGTATTAAACTCATTTGATTCCCAGCTCCAGGAGTCTTGTTTAGTATGAAGAGTACTATCTGCTGCTGGCAATACACCAGTAGTAGAGTTATATGAAGGTGTGCAGCTAAGAGAAGTTACAGCATTGATATTATCAGCTGTCTGATTAGCCTGTGTTTTTTCTGGTTTTAAGCCATCATCTGGCTGTTGCTGAGGTTGTTGTTGACTTTCTTGTCCCTCAAGACTCTGATGAGATGGGCATCTTGTATCTTCAACAAATCTTTCTGGAGTATGTGATTGATGTAGATGTTGCTGATTGTTACCTGGCTGTGTCTGGTCAGCCTCCCAATCTGGCCAGCCATCACCAGAAGCATCTCCACAACTAATATTTGGTGAAACACCATTTCCCATTTGGGTTCCATGAGTAGAATGTGTGATTTGTTCCGATTTTGAAATATGCATTTCAGAATGATATGGAGACTGTTCATTAAAGTTTGTTTCCTGCTGATGCACTGTAGAAGGAACTCCATTTGTTTGCCAGTCATCATTACCCCAACCCCACTCATCCTCTACTGGATGTTCAGAGGATTGCTGAAGTGGCTGTTGTTTCTCTTGTTCTTGATGTGCAAGGTGCAGATCACAACCCCCACAATTCTCTTCTTGCAACTTATTCTGCTGTTCTTGTTCCTGTTGTTGTTGTTGTTGTTCTTCCTGTTGTTGTTGTTGTTCTTCCTGTTGTTGTTGTTGTTCTTCCTGTTGTTGTTGTTGTTGTTGTTGTTGTTGTTGTTGTTGTTGTTGTTGTTGTTGTTGTTGTTGTTGTTGTTGTTGTTGTTGTTGTTGTTGTTGTTGTTGTTGTTGTTGTTGTTGCAGCTGTTGCTGTTGCAGCTGTTGCTGTTGCTGCTGTTGCTGTTGCTGCTGTTGCTGTTGCTGCTGTTGCTGTTGCTGCTGGTGCTGTTGCTGCTGGTGCTGTTGCTGCTGGTGCTGTTGCTGCTGGTGCTGCTGTTGAAGTTGCTGTTGTTGATGATGTTGATGTAGATGTTGTTGCAGCTGCTGTGGTTGCTGTTGATGTGGCTGCTGTTGATGAGGCTGCTGCTGTTGTTGATAATGGTAATATTCATATCGCTGTTTATTTTCTTCATCCTGACCATAGTGACTCTGCCGGTAATTTTGCTGCTGATAAGAGCTATGGTGTTGATGTACTTGCTCCTGCAATATTTGTTGCTGCTGTATATCTTGATACTGATGATGCTGATGATATTCTTGGTACTGATGCTGTTCCTGGTTCCCTTGATAATATTGCTTTTGTTGATGCTCCTGCTTTGCATAATTAGCTGGCTTAGTATTATTGTTATTGTTGAAAGAATCACTGCTTTCCCAGTCATTGCCCCAGTTGTCTCCTCCCCAATCTTCAGCTCCAGAACTACTTGGGTTGCTACCATTAAGGAACTGCTGAGCATTAGTAGGATTCTGATTTTGCTCATAAATAGCAGAAGCAGAATTTACAGTATTCTGGTTATTGAACACATTATGAGGAGCTTTAGAATACTGCTGCTGTGAAGTATGCTGGAGCTGCTGAGTGTGATCATGATGCTGAAAGTATTGTTGAGTACATTGCTGGATCTGATTCAGTTGCTGTTGATGATTACTTGTGGACTGTTTATTCCCATTCCAAGACCAAGCATCATTACCACTTTCTCCCCAATTCCATGCACCATCTGAGGTTTCAGCTCCCGCTGTCCAACCACCACCCTCTGATGGCTGTTGTTGGGTATGATGGGTATTATGGCCTGGTTGCTGAGGCTGCCCAGGTGCAAAAGGGTGTTGGGTGGAATCATTACACTGATGTTGCTGTCCACCACCCCATCCAATCTGCAATTCAAAAATCATAACTGCAAGCAACTCCATCAAGTGAATCTAAAGTTTGAAATCTTTTATCTACTAAGCATCTAGCACTTGCATGAGTCTCTTTCTGCATATGAACTGCTCATAATAATAAATTCTAAGATATATTACCTTTTAACCCATTCACAATCATGCCCAGCTAAGCCTACCTAAGTTGCATATACTACACAATAGTTCAGTTGCTTGGTCCTAGCTGCAGCCAAGAAGGAGAAAGAACTCTTCATAAGTACACTCAAAGCCTCTTTTCAGCCTAATTACCTATTCATTTATGTCCCAACCAAGAGAATAGAATGCAAGGTAAATTTGTTTCCCACACTCCTAATTATTCCCGAAAGCAGTTGACCCCACACCTTTCTAGTGCATGGTTTAGCATGGTATGGAATTAGGAGATCCAATTGTGAATGGGTTAAGTAATATAGTAATATTCCTAAATAACACAAATAAGTAGAGTGTAACTGATAGAATAAGAGCAAACACTGACTAAATTAATGTCTCTCACCACTTGCTGTGTTGGATGCTGATTCTGTTGTGACTGATTAATAGAACCTGGAGCACCAACACGATGGGCACCTTTTAAACGTTGACGAAACATCACTCTTGACAC